CACCTACTATATGACATACCCATTATTTGTCTCCACCCCAGAACATGAGCGCCCTAAGGGTAAGGACTCTGTCTTATATTCCAGTGCTTTGGATGTAGTTAGTGCTCAATAAACAGTGAATGGATGAATGAATGAGTGAGTGGCTGTAGACATTGTCCTTGCCCTCCTCATGTGGCTTACATTGTAGGGGGAGAGACCAATAGCAAACATGCATTAAACATTTTTTTAATTTCTTTATATTTAGAGAGGAAGGGAAGGAGAGAAAGAGAGAAATATCAATGTATGGTTGCCTGTCATGGGTCCCCTGCTGGGAACTGGCCTGCAACCCAGGCATGTGCCCTGCCCGGGAATCAAACCTCGGTCTTTGGTTCGCAGGCCCACACTCAATCCACTGAGCTACACCAGCCAGGGCACATTAAACATGTTTAATGTTTAATTACAATCTTCTATGTGTACTCTAAAAGAAACAAATGGAGTGTTGTGATAAATAACTGGAGGGGTGGAGGGATCTACTTTAGTTAAGGATCCGAGAGGGATTCCCTGAGCGAGTGATGTGGTGACATTTGAGCTGAGCCTGGAGCATGCGGAGGAGCCTCCGCGATCACTGGTGAGGAGCCCTGCAGCCAGCGAAGACGGCCCGCGCAAAGGGAGAAGCTGGCGCGTCTGAGGAGCAGGCAGGCCAAGGTGGCTGGAATGGAGTGAGTGGGGAGAAGAGGGGCGTCGGGTGCAGCTCTAAGGCTGGGAGGGCCTGCAGGTCACACAGAAAACTAGGAGGCTTTAGATTAAACCATAAGAGCAGTGGGAAGCCACTGAAACATAAAGCAGAAAAATTAAAGGTTCTGATCTCTGTTAAAAAAAAGAAGAAGAAGAACTGCTCCCTAAGCAGCCAAAGGGAGCACAGGCTGAGGAAGTGCAAAGCCCTGGAAGCAGATGGATCTAACTAGGTGGTCAGTGACACTGAACAGTGCCTAGCAGTTCGAGGCATATCCAGGCCCTTCCTGTGCACTGGCTCCACTGGCTGCTGCCTCCACACTGGGGCTGGCACCACTGAGGTTGCCCTGGCCTGGAGGAGGCAGGACTGAGGACACCTGGGCTCTTGGTCTCCTCTCTGGTGAGCCCCGACGAGCTCCAGGCTGAGCTAGGAAGGGGCCAAAAAGACAGCAGGCAAGGACCAGAGGCAGAGAATGAAAGAGAGTCACAGGGTGACAGAGAGAAGCAAGAAAAAGGTGATAAGGCCCTGACTGGCAACTGGGCGTGGTCCCACAAAGCAAAAGGTTTGCCAGTTTGATTCCTGGTCAGGAATCAAATGGTCAGGGTACATGCCTGGGTTGAGGGTTCGTTCCCTGGTCAGGGCATGTAAAAGAAGCAACCAATCAGTGTCTTTCTCTCTCTCTCACTGATGTTTCTTTCCGTCTTTCTCCTTCCCTTCCCCCTCTCTATAAATAAATTCCTTATTTAAAAAGGAATTGGTGATGGGGAAGAAATGGAGACAGAGAGATGCTGGAGCAGAGAAGAGACAGAAGGTACAACCCAGAAAACAAAAGTCACGGAGAGAAACCTGGGGAACGGCAGGGACAACCAAGAATGACGCTGTTTGCAGATAACGCTTACAGGAGCCTCTGACAGAGGTGCACCATGGAAACCAAGGCTCAGAGGGTATAGGGCACTTGCCAAAGGTCACACGACTGGTAAGTGGTGGGCCCAGGACACAAACCCGCACCGGACTAATTCCATGCCCCTCTGGTCTTTGTGCAGGGAAGTCTACAGGGCAGGGGCTCTGGTGGGAAGAGAAGGAACACAAGCAACAGGTGGGCAAGTGAAAAGAGAACATTCTGCTATACCTGAAAAAGACTATAAAACTTCTCTAATCCTAGAGAGAAGAGAGAAGGAAGAAGAAAAGTCCTTCCCTGAGTGACCCAAATTTAAGGAAAAGGAGGCAGCACGACAGGCAGGGCCAGGCCATGAGGAAATCCAATTACTTTCAACTCATGGAATATTTATGACCCCAACCCTGCGCCAGGCCCCATATTGGGTGCTGGCGTCATGGAGATGCACCAAACAGGGTTGCACTCTTGCCTGGAGGGGGAAATGGGCACATAAATAAATGAGAGGCTACATCCTAAAGGCCATAACACCTACCCAGAGAAAAGACAAAGGCAACAGGGGTTGACTCAACTTAGGGATTCAGGAAATAACATCCAACAAATAATGTGTGAACCTGGAGCTTCCCATGTACGCAAGGCAGGGAAAACCATATCAAGCAGAAGGAGCAGGCTGAATAAAGACACGAGACATGTAAGTTCCGAGAAAGGTGGGTATCAGGTACAGTTGGATCATGGGCTGTGCACTGTCCAACAGTAAGAGATAAAGTCAGTGTGGGAGACAGAATGCAAAGGCCTTGATGCAAGCCCAGGACTATTGGGCTCAACCCCCTAGATCAATGGTTTTCAAACTTGTCCCTAGGGGGACCCCGGCATTCCTCCAGCCAAGGTGAGGGGTTTTACCATTGCATTAAAACTAGTCATAATTTTTCTAATTCGCAAAAATGGAAGTTAAGTGCATTGAACATAATTTTTTGTTGTTGCTTTAAGGTGTCTTTCCACCATACATTTTTCTGAAGACTTCAGTAAATGTTAGTAGTGTGACAGAATGATGGAATGAGCACAGAATCGCAGTTTTGTTTACAATTTTAAGTTTAATATATCAACTGTTAGTGGTGTTTTACAAAGAACTGTAGTTTCTGGTTCTCTCTAAAGGAATTGGGGAGGCAGAAAAAAGGGAAGGGATCTCAGGGAGAAGCTGTTGACACAGTTCTGAGAGCTGAGGGCCTAAACAGAAGGTGAAGGCAACCAGGATGGAGGAGACTAAGACCAGCCCCAAGGAGGAGACTTGCCAGGCTTCCCACAGAATTGAGGGGAGCCAATCTGGTAGAGAAGATAATGTCAACAGCTCAATGTCCCCTAGGGAGTCTTACAAGAGAAGTCACCCCGTGTGTCACTGTGAAAATAGAAGATAAGCAAGGCTGAAAATGTGTGTGGGCGTGCATGTAAGTGCAGTATGCACCCAAGTCTTTCCCCCATCATGGGACACCAACTTGCTCTATAATAAAAGCAAGTACAGTCCTTTTCAGTGTGGCTCAGTTGGTTAGATGTTGCCATTTCAGTTCCCCATCAGGGCACATGCCTAGGCTGTGGTTCGATCCCCAGTCGGAAGCATATAAGGGAGGCAACCAATTGATGTTTCTCTCTCTCTCTGTGCGTCTCCCTTCCTCTCTCTCTAAAATTACTAAGCACAGTAAAAAAAAAATAAAAGCAAATACAAACACTTTTTGAGCACGTCCTATGAGCCAAGCCCTAGTCTGTATGTTTTACAGGTGATATCTCTTATTTACCCTTCACAGTAACCCCCTAAACACATTCAGCAAAAGCTTTCGTGTGCCAAGCATTCTTTTGCTCAGTGCTCCAAGTGAAGTGAATAATATCTTACTTGATCCTCACAACAGCCTTGAAACAGATGCTATTATTTCCTTCATTTCAAGATAAGGAAATGGAGACACAGAGAGGTCAAGAGACTTGTCCAAAATCACTTTGAAGTGGTTCTAGAAAGTGGCTGAGCCAGGACTCAAACCCAGATTGGCCAGAGCCCGGCATCTGCACCCTTCAACACGGCACTTTGCTTTCTTCTCTTCCTCAGAGAAAAGGCTCTGAGTTAAAGAGCTTTGGGTCCATAAAATCCAGAGGAAGGAACTTTTCCTTACCCTTCAAAGCCCTGGCTCAGTGTTTCTCAAAGCCTCTTCCCTGGGCCACCTGCCTCAGAATATTCTTAAGAGCTTGTAAGAAATGTACGTTCCTGAAGACCTGCCCAAGACTCTAACACAGTAGGACTAAGATGAAACCTCAGGTGCTTTTTGTACACATGGAAGATTCTGAGTCACAGAACTGGCTCCAACAGCACCTCCTCCAAAAACCCCTCCCCAGCCCCCTTCCCAAACCCCTCCCTCTCTCCTCCACTCCAACAGTGCACTCTGTCATGCTCCTACCCTTTAACTGGGGTTTTAGTTCAGCTCATGTCTTCACTCCACCAAAAACATGACCTAGTGTCGTTACTGGACTACATCTTTTTACAAAGCACTTCCATTGTCCTACTTAATCGTTTTCTAAACCGAGAATTTTCAGAGCGGGCCCTCCTCCTTGTGAACCCTCTCTTACAACTGAACATGCCGCGTTTTACAAGGCACTCCCCGGTCCACAATAACGTTATTCTACTGTTTCATCTTATCCGCACGACTGTCTTGAAGGAGGAATATTCTTTCCCATATTCCTAGGAGAAGACAGACTCCGCGTTTCAGTCATTTGCCCAAGGTTCCCAAGCTAGGAAGCGGCAGGGCTGGGTTTAGAACCTAAATCTTCTAACTCCAAAGCCAGTATTCTTGCCTCCACATCAGCTTATATGTACTCTACTCAGTGTAGGGAACTCAGCTTTGCCTCCCTGTGCTATTAGAAGTGTAGATTAAATGAAATCATGCCTTTAATGGCCTGGGCACAGTGAGCTCTCTACAAATTGTGGGGAGAGGGAGAAACTGAGGCCGGGGAAGGGAAATGTCTTCCCCGAAATCAAACAGCAGATCGAAGACTGCAGACATAGCTTTGGGCCCGTCTCAGGCGCTCCCTGTGGGGAGATCAACTGTGGCGGGCTAGAAATCTTCGCGACTCCCTCCAGTACCCCCACCGTGCATCCCTCTCCTCCCGCGCAGCCTCACAAGGCGCCACAGTGCTGGCGGCGGAGGAAGAGGGACCGCCCTTTAAAAGGAGCAAGGGGCGCGGTCACGGGGAGGGGCAGGGGGCGGGGCGCCAGCGCGCGCCGTCGCCGGATGATGACGTATTCCGGCGTCCGGCTACGAGTTCTTGGAGTGAACATGAGGGTCAGCCGCACTCGGTGGTTGGCGCGAACCGCGGCTCTCCTGCGGCGGAGGCTGCTACCTGCCCCCGGCTGCCGCCTGTCTGCTATCACCGCCTACTCTGCATCCGCGGACCCCTCCCGGGTCCGGGCGCTGGTCTATGAGCACCATGGGCACCCAACCAAGGTCGTCGAGTAAGAGACAGCGCCGAACCGGGGCAAGGGGACTGTGGTTCTTGTAGGGTTTTAAGACGGCTGTGGGGAAGGGGGCCGGGAAGGAAGCGAATAATAGGACCGAAACTGAGGCCCAGGGTACGTTTGGAAGCTTGGAAAGCCCGTGCTTCTAAGAAGTTAAAGACCCGAGGGGCACAATTTTATCGGCAGCAGTGGCTGACGTTTATGGGTCAAGTACTGTATGTCAGGCAACCCCTGTGTACATGGAGGCTCTCATTTAATCGTCACCACAACCTTTGGGCTAGGTCCTTGACGTAGTCTGACTTTCAGATGAGAAAACTGAGGCATAAGAGAGGTAAAATCACTTGCCCAAAGTCACACAGCCAATAAGGGGCAGAATCGGAATTTGAATCCAGGTCCGACTAACTGCGTTCTTACCTTCTATTATTTTTGGAGAGGATTTTCAGAATGCTTTTACACCCATTTGGATCTTCACTTCTCAGTAAAGTAGGTCATTGTTTCCATTTTACAAGGGACAAGAGACTTGTCCAAAGTGCTATACTAACAAAGATTGGAACAGAAACGGGAAGCCATAGCTTCTGACGCCTCCTCCTGTGGTTTCCTCTCCACGGCCTTGAATGCGTGTCTGTAGTTGCAAAGTGCTCCTGTCTTGGAGTCAGTGCAGACCTGAGGTCAAATGCATACTCCTCCTATTAATAGCTGTTTGATCTTGGACAGGACGCTCAGCTCCTCTGAGCCCTCATTACTTTCATAATAATGTCCTCCAAAAATTCTGGTAGATCTTAATCCATGATTTTTGCTCACAGCTGATAAAGGCAGTATGTGACTTGTCAACCATCATAAATCTGCACATAAGTAACTACAGGCACACCTGATTTCATTGCACTTTACGGACATTGGGTGTTTGCAAAATGAAGGCAAGACCCTATACCAGCGATAAGATTACGACCCGGTTTATTGATAGACTCGCCTTGTAGTGCTCTGAAACCTAACCTGAAAATCTCCTGTGTAGCTCCTCAAATGAGGGCGAGTGTGGACTGTAGTGGAGCTAAGGTGAAAGCCCCAATCCCGAATTCAGAAGACCTGGGGTCAAACCCTTGACCCCCGCTGTCCTAGCTGTGTTTGGCAAGTTACCAAGGTTCTCAGAGCCTTGGGTTCATCATCTTTAAAAATGGAGATAGTACTTTTACAGCTCATAGTGCTCACCAGCTGAGATCAGTCTGGTGTCAGAAAGTGCCTACACTCCCACAGCCCCTTGTTTGCAGCTCTGGTTCCCAGCAAATAGTTGGACTGTTTTCCAGAGGATAGGCGCAGGGGACGACTTCACGGTTAACATACAGGCCCTAGTGCTGGCTTCGGTGGCACATGCACTAAGATTGGAACGATACAGAAGATTAGCATGGTCTCTGCACAAGGGCAGCACACAAATTCCTGAAGCGTTCCATATTTTTACCAAAAAAAAGACAAGGTGGATGTTTGGACAGCCAGAGGGGATACATTGCAGATAAATTCAAGGTCATTCACTCAGCCTAGCCACATCCATTTGAATTGTGACCAAAAGAATTTTGAGAAGACTCATCAATAAACCCCAAATTGTATGTTGCTCATAAGTAATAAATTACCAGTAAACCCTAAAGTGTATGTTAATCATGAGTAATAAATCACCAGTACACCCCAAATTATATATCAGTCATAAGTAATAAATTACCCCAAGGACTGTGCTGTAACGATCTAGTAAATCTCTGATGATCACACCTTTTCCAAAAATGAGCCCCAGACAGGAACAATGTAGAGTCTTTCTTCTCACAGGCTTGTGACTTATGTGTCTGGTCTGGGGCCACATTGTTAATCTGTGTCTGATTTCAGTAAGAAGCACACCTTTTATTGTGTTCTGTGGTGATGAGGAAGGCATCTCCAATGTTTGGGGACCCTCTGGGAAGGTTGGGCAGTTGAGGGCAGTTGCCTCCTGATTGATCTCCTCTTGGAGAGCTAGGGACACTGAAACAGGCTTGCTGCAGATGCCACTTAGAGAAAAAAGACAACCGTCTTGTCTCCTGTGGAGCCCTGGGAAATTCCTAGAAGTTCAAAACATGACACTTCCATGACCCATTGTGTTCAGCCCTGGCTTCACATCTCAGTCACCTATGACACTTTTAGAAACTACATACTCCCGGGTACCACCCCTGAAGTACTTAGTAAGGCTAGGATGGCCCTGAAATCTGTGTTTTTTAAAGCTCTCCAAGCGACTCTGATGCCAGGCCAGGGTTGAGCACCGCTGCCCTGTGGATGTGGACGGTCAGGCCGGTGGGCAGTTCTGCCTCGGAGTGGCAGCTTTCCCTTCTGACTCCCGTTCAGGCAACTTGGCTTGATCAGGGTTGGACTGAGGCCAGAGGCTGGGATTCTCTTTGTAGTCATGTCTTGGGAGGATAGGATAGGGTATCCGCACTGTCACAGAAAGGATCAGGTGTCCTTTAAACATACCAGTGACTGGGTATGTGGGTCAGGTTACACCAGGTAGGGTCTTGGAACCACTGAGTCTGAGCAGAGTGTTCCCCAGACGCGTGCGGTTTGTGGCGTTTGCACCGAGTGCTGGGAGCAGCAGGGAGGGGATGAGGAATCCTCGGGTCTGAGGGGCTGGGGAACTTCTCAAAGCGAGTCCTCCAGGGAGCTCCTGTTCTCATTTCAACATTCCGAATGGCCTTCTCTTCAGTTCTGCCGCCCCCCAAACTAAGCTCTACCCTCCTCTACCAAGTCTTTTCCCCTGATACTGTAGAGTTTCTTTTCCCCCAAAGTGAACTCCCCTACTTATTTGGGCCTTCTTCATTTAAAGAGGTGAACTGCTGATCTAAATGAAGTTACGTGCAGGACAAACAATGACATGGGAGAGTGATAAACATTCTAGAAATTTCAGAGGCCCGCATGGCCATTACCCCTTGCGTAGAGTTCCAGGTTCTCTCCAGTGTCTTTCCCTTTCCTTTTGTTTCTGAACGTTCCCTTTCAGAAGTTTGCATGCGCTGTGCCTTATGGTGAAAGCTGCTCTCATGTATTCTGTACTCGCTATGTGGCAGGCATGGGACTGAGTTCTCCACATATATTATGGAATTTAATGAAATACCCCAGTGTGGTCACTGTAATCCCCATTGTACAGACAAGGTAACTGAGGCTCAGGAAGCTTGAAAGGCACTTGTCCAAAATCATACAACTAGGATGTTGCTTTATTCAAAGTCCTTGATACAGACATAGACCCGAAGAAACCATGACGATCATCCCACATGTTTTTTGAGAATGTGATGGGGGATGAAACTGGGAGTGAGGTCGGTCAGAAGAGACAGAGGAGCTATAGGTCTGCTCTTCACAGGAAGGACGGTGCACCCTGGGGAAGATGGTGGGAATGCTGTCCCTCGTCTCTGCCTCTTTTCAGGATCCTGAAGCTTTCCTAGAACAGCGTCCTGGTCGTCATGGCTCTCACCTGCTGCTGCTAGCACAAAACGAGACACAGCCACTGTGCTGGCTGTGTGGAATCCGGGGAGCAGGTGGCAGGCGGCCGGGCGGTGTAGCCGCAGGGAGTTCTCACGGCAGGGCGCTGTCTGTTCTCACACATTTCTTCTTTTTCCAGTTGATGTCAGTGTTCAAACCCCAAACTCTGTGCTGGTGACTTGGTTTATAAAACAGAATTCTGGTACTTTGAAAAAAATTAGCATTTTGGTTTGGCGTCCTGTTGAAAACCGGGATTTTGTTTGTTTTGTCTCCTGCAGCTCTCTATTGTGGTCCTGAATGAAGGGGGGCGGACAGAGTTCACTAGGTTAGCCTGCATTCATTCCCAGAGGGCCTAGGGAGTGCTAGGCGCCGAGCCCGCAGAGGGGTGGTCCGTGCGGTCTTCGCCCTCAGGAACTTGCCATCTAGTCCAGGAGAGAAAGTACAGAAATGTTCCTGGCAGGGCTCCTGCATGTGCAAATACCGGAGGGAAGAGATGAGAAAACGTGGTGTGTGCGACAAACAAATACTTAGTAAGTGCCCATCAGTGACCCTCTGAGGGAGGTGTCTGCTGAAACAGGCACAGAGGGACCAACCTGCGCTCGCGGGATTCTAACTCAGGCTGGATTCTACGTCCTGTGGCACCTGAACATCACCTTCCCTCTGGACTCCACACTAGGCTGCGGGGTTTAGGGCCAAGCCCTTTCCCCCCACTTGCTCATTCTTGCCTCTAAGGGCGAAACCCAGCAGGCACACCTCTGGGGGACTAAGCGTTTTCTCCATGTCCAGAGTGTCTGGGGGGAATGCTGCCCCCCAGTGCGACCCCAAGTTACTGCGCTGTCTGGCCCTCGCCTAGCGGCTCCAACAGCCCTCTGGTACAGTTCCAGGCCATCCCCACCCTGGATGGGTGGCAGGGTCCTCAGGTTAGAGAAGGAAAAGCAAAGCGGATAAGAGATTAGTCTGTGGCTCCGGTGTGTCAAGGGGACTGGCCGGGGTTCTGGTCTCCACACTGCCATTCATTATTACAGTGAGGAAATCTCTCCAGTCTCTGTTTTTGGGTTTTTGCTTTTTTCATTTTCTTTGATAAAGGGGTTGACCAAAGTCAGCAGTGGTAAATGCAAGCATTTGTGCTGTCCCCTCCACCTTCCATCCTCTCTGCCGATGACAAACCCTCAACAGCTCCCTCATTTATATACCTCAAACCCTACACACCTCTGTACCCCATGCTGCCCAACAACTTTTTCCTGCCCAGACAAGAGGAGGCCTCAGCAGTGTTTTCAACATGGTACTGCAGCCATGGAAGTTGTTAGGTGACACAAATCCTCTTTGATCCAACAATTATCCTGCCCTGACGATTCTATGAAACTGAAGCAAGCCTTAGACTGCCTGCTGGTCAGTGGTTGCTCTAGCAACCTCGGGGAACACTGCTGTGGCTAGAAATCTGTGGTCCTGGGCACAAGACTTCACCAAGGCCCCCTTTGCCATCAGTTGGTTACCCAGTGGGCAGCCCACTAGGCAGGGGCTGCTCAGTCACCTTTGCACCTATCAGAGACAAAAGCAGTGGCAGGCAGAGACCCCGCCGCCTGCCCTGGCCCGGTCTTGCTCTCTGGAGCAACAGGGAGAGTTAGGCCTCAGCAAAGCAAGCAACAGGGACGCGGCAGCTCCCCTCAAGCAAGTGTCCTGATGTCAGCAGACTAGAATGTTACGGGGCTTGTAAGCTTCATCTTAATTGCAGAAAAGTAGGGGATTGAGAAGGGAGAAGGTTTCTTTGCCAACCCTGGGTAGAAACTTCCAGAAGCTGCCCCAAGTCTCTGACTCCCTTTTGTTCAAAATGAGTGAGCAAAAAGTCCTGGATGGTAGGAGAGCAAGATTTCTTTGAGGCAGGAAGGGAAGCAGGCGCACCTATCACACCAAAAGACGTGGGACGGATGAGCTTGGCTTGGGGAAGGGAGCTTCCCTGAGGGCCAAGGACTCCTGTGGAGCCCCCCCGCATCAAGGCCCCCAACATCCCCTACTGGGGGATGAGCTGAAGAACTTCATTTCTCTGAGATTTCCAGGCTCTGCTTATTAATTATTAATCAAGTCTCAGGACAACTGTGTCCATCCAGCACAGCAGGCGTTTGACCAAGTCACAGGAGAAGACTTGTTTGTAACCATGGGGGTTGCAGGCAGGCCAGGGAAAGCCACATAAGATGTCAGTTTCCTCCACCCAGTGTCCCCTGGGAGGGGACACATTCTTTGCCGTCCATAGTGAGCAGGTGAGAAAGTGTCCATGTTCTCTGACTCTCTCCCTGCGCCTGTTCGTTGTGCTCAAAATAATTTTGACCCGTGTGAGGGGACTGAGTGGAAGATGCAAGATAAGTACAAATGGTTGCTAATTAAATGCGGAAGGCGGGAAAGCTATCTTCACGGCGCTGGCTAGTGCCCGCCTTACACAGCAGATCTAACTGAACAGTCCCCAGAGCCCTGGCCTCTTTTTCCCCCTCTCAAAAGGCTCTTTCTTCGGCCTGCTTTTGTCTCCCTTGTAGTTCACATGGCATCACAGGTGTACAGCTGCAGCCTCAAAGGAGCCATTGTGACCTTATCCAGCCCGGGATCTGTTGAGTGGAGGCAGTGGCGTCCCTCCGAGTTGCGTGGCGCCATCACCCTCACAGGGGAAGGCCCTGGACGTCCAGGGGAAGCGACTTGAGAGCTAGCCAGGCTGTGTTTGGGCACTCCATGTGTGCTCCACTGCACAGCCACCAGTTCCTTTGGTGAGTTTAAAAAAAACAAGAAGAAATTGCTATCATTACACCAGAGGTCCAACTCCTGGAACTCAGACTCGCGCCGCTTTCCTTCCTGTCTTGGCAGGCTGGTATCCTTGACGACGCTGTTAGAACTCTGCAGGAGCAGCGGTGTCTGTGGTATTGATGGCGTTCCACAGGGCAGGCCTGGGCTGGTCTCCCAGGGTGAGACTCGGCTGGTCCAACACGCCTTCCCCCGGGCGCACAGCGTGTATGTCGGGCCTGCCACCGCCCTCACCCACCTGTGTTTTGGCTTCAGCTTTCCATGTCCTAGACCCTCGTCCCCATCACATTCTCCTCCCCTCCCACTTCTGTGGATGTCACCTAGCGCAGAGCAGCCAGGCCACCCAGAAGACAAAGAAGAGAGCTGGGAGCAGGCTGGAGCCCGGTGCAGCACTTCTCAAAGCGCTGTCTGGGGGCCGGCAGTCCCTCCGCGAGCTGTGTGACAGTGTTCCCAGCTGAGCCCACTCCTGGAGCTTTGATTGCTCGGAGCCACAGGGGTTTCTTTACTGGAGGACTTCTCACAACCTTTATGACTCTGCTCTGCTGTCTGGATCTTATAAAGGGGATTTAGTGGGCAGCCATTCCCAAACGAATAGCACCCCAGGGAAGACCTAATAATAACATCTCCCAGGACAAAAGTCCACAAACAGCGGGAGGGGTGCAGGCCTAGTGTTCTACAGTCTGAGATTTGGAGTCAGGCTTCAGGTCAAGTTTTGCCACTTACTAACAGTTTCACCTTGGGCAAGTTACTTAACTTCTGAGCCTCAGTTTCCTGTATGCAAATTAGAGTGACAACATTCTCCAGACAGGTGTTTTGAGGACTAAACAGCACCAGGTATATAAAATGTTAAGCACTATGCCTGGAGCTTAGTAAACTGTCGACATTAGTTGCCATTTAATTGTCCAGCCATCGCCCAAAATATGTTCACTACCCTAGACTTCATGCCATTCGGCTGGGGCCTGCTTTAAGCTTTCTCCCCAGTCCACAGCACTCTTCTTTTGTCCCTTGTCATCATCCAATTACCCAAGCCACGGGCCCAGGAGCCATCAAAGATTTCTCCGTCCCCCCACATGGAGTTGGTTACCAGGTGACATCAGTGCTACTCATATAAGAGATTCTAGGTCAGGGGTGTCACACTCATTTTCACCGGAGGCCACATCAGCCTTGCAGTTGCCTTCAAAGGGCCCAATGTAATTTAATACCGTATAACGTAACTACTCCTTAACTAGGGGCAAGGAGCTCGGAGCTGCCACCAGGTAGAAACAAGGTGCTAGGCGGATAAAACAAGGCAGAAGGCCGGGTTCAGCCAGGGGCTGGGGGGCGGTTGGCATGTGTTTGCCACCTGTGCTCTGGGCTGTCTGATCCTGCCTGTTTGCACAGCTCCACTCTGCACTGCGCCTGTCACCTGGCCGTTTTCTGTGCCACTTTCTCTGGCAGGAAAGTCCTCCTTCACTCTGTCCACCCAGTAAACTCCTGTTTATCCTTCGAGCCTCAACTAAACTGTCACTTCTTCCCAAGCCCCTTTGCTCACTCTGCTGTCTTCCTGCAGCTGGTTCACCTCAGCCGCTGTCAGCACCACGCACCTGCCTCAGAGACAGCACTTCTGTGTGACTGCCCACACCATCAGGTCCTGGGCAGATTTTTTTTCATCTTTAAGCCCCATGGCACCATACCTAACACTTAGTAGGACTATCAATATTTGTTGAATTAAATTCACTTGAATTTTCCAGAAAAATTGTCTTCCTTTCAGCGATCCTTTACAGAGGTATGGCCAGCTTGTAGTGGCCTGCCCAGGAGGGGAGCTAGCCACTGAATCAATAGGATGAATGTAATGGCTAATAGCCTGCCCAGGAGGGGGCTAGCAGCTGAGTCAACAGGATCAGGGAGAGCAAGTAACTAAGTAACTAGGAAGTAAGAAAGAATTTCGTATTAACTCCTATCAGCAGTTCAGCTTTCTTGCTTCTATAAGCTGCTTCCTGCTTTCTCACCAGAAGTAATGGCCTGAGTGACAGACTGCCCCCTCACCCTATATAAGCAATTTTCCCCACTGATCGGGGCCCAGAATTTGGAGACTGCCTCCTCTGGGTCTGCATGGGTAAGTAAAGTTCCACTCCGTACACCCAAAAGCGACTGAGTTGTTTTCTGTAACAAGCTAACTGTTTCAGAGGCTTCCTTGGACTGGTAACAGGTGCCACCGGGCACTGAAGGATGCTTTATGCACTCAGGTCACCCTGTGAGCCAGGCTCCAGTGTCCTCCCAGTTTCACAGACCAGGGTTTCAAGGTTTATCTATCTGGTAACTGACCAGGGCAGGATTCAAACCCAGGACTGCTGATTTCGACCCAAACCCACGCTCTGGCCTTCATCTGTGAACTGTGATCTGCCTGGATTCTCATCTTGACCACGGCCATCTAGAGCTTTAAGAAGTACCATCTTACTGCATCTCTGGGCTGAACTTGCCTGTGAGGAAGAGCCATGGGTTTTTGCTCAGACCAGACTCTCTTAGAGGTCATCTCCATTTGTTTATTCGCTCCCATCTTTCAGGCCTGTTTTCCCTAAGAGCCCAGAATCAGGAAGAGCAAATACAAGCCTCAATAGCTAAGTCCCTGTGGTTTGAGCCTCTCCTCCGCCCTAAACGACTGGCACTTCTGTGCCACATTTTCTCTCTGGAGAGGAGACTTGGATCATCTCTGTGGGGAGCCACGAGCGCTGTTCTGGTCACCAGCACTGTGCTGCAACCGAGAGTCCTCTGCTCTCCCTGAGCTCCCGATCTAATAGGAGGCAACTCACTGTGACTGCAAAATGAGGAGGTCAGTAAAAAAAGCCCTGAACTGAATCGGAAAGGCCTGGATCTAATTCCAAATTCATGCCCACAACCCCGAAATCCAAACAGCTCTGCACACTGAGCCTTGTTCTTCTTTTTTAATCATTTGTGTTTTTTCGTAACTTTTGGAGGCAAAACCTGACCTCCAACATGAAGTTCTTAATGTGGTCGTTATTCGTTCCCTTACTGTGAATATGTATGTGTTTTGTTGCAAAGCAGCGTGTCTGATGGTGGAGTGCTGCCCCATCCCCCACGTGGGGCAGAGATAAAACACAGTTCAGAACCCTGAGGCATGCACATCTCACCCCAAGTGTTTCGAAAAGGAATGTGAATTTGTGCCTTGTGATCAATTGAAAAATATGTATGAAAAAATTTCGTAAACTAGAAAGCAACGAGCTCGGGTAAGAAGGTCTTATGGTGTGATCGCTGTTTCTGTGTAATGGGGGCGTTCAGGAGCCCAGAAGTGGATCAGTAGATGTCTTAGGGGGAGTGACATTTGAGTTGGTTCTAAAACAGTGAGTTGAATTTTTCACTTCCTGGAGAATCTGCGGGAAAGCCTGGGCCGAGGCAAGAGCATGTGGAGACTGCAGGGAAAACAATGTCTCAAAAGCTTGAGGGCATGGACTTTGCTGGCTTACACAAAAGCTCAGATTATATGTCAGAATGCCAGAGAGAAGCAGCACAGATGATCCAAAGGGGCCACCAGTCCATGGTCCATGCTGTCTGGGCATAGTGTGTCTTTGCAGTGCCAGCTGATTTGTGCATTCACAGAAAAGCTTCGCTGTCTGCTTAGCGGGCTGGGGAGCTTCTGACGCCTCCGCTTCCCCTGGCCCGTCCAGCAAGAATCAAGCCCGCTCACCGCTCCTGGCAGGTGCTCACTCTCCTTGCTGCCTTCCGCTTGGTCTGGAGGAAGCCGCCAGCCATTTGACTGCTCCAGCATCAGACTACCAGGCTCACATGGATCATACACTTACTGCTTTTGGTGGCCTTGAGCAATCTGTATCCCTTCTTTTGTGCCTTTGTTTCTCGGATATAAAATCAGAATAATAGTAGAAAGCTGGCATGGAGAGCACTCAGCATAGTGACTCACCGGTAAGCACTCGAGCAGCAGTTACTGTTATTATTACAAGGACCCCCCTCCAGCCGCACATAAACACGCACATTCCTCAGCATTTACCAAAAAAGGGGGCGGAGGAATCTCTCTCTCTATTCTCTCTGCCACGTCGTCAACTTCTTCCTAGTTACCCACTTTCTCTAACAAGTATTTTTATTTTGTTTTTTTATAGCTGTTTCTCAACCATGGTGAGGTACAGCCTCCCTTATTTTGGTCATAATCTGGTACAGGGGTTCCCACATTGGGACCCCCAGAGTCCTTGCAGGCAGTCAGAGGGGTTCCCAGACTAATTTCAGGATGCTGGGGACAGGAAGGTAAGTAAGTAAGAGCACCAACTTTGCAAGTAGGGAAGCCTCGCCACTGTCCAAGTGTCTTACCTGTCCAGTGATCTCTGGCAGCCTCCACTTCCTACCTGATAGAATGGAAATAGTAATACTTCCCTCATGGAAGTGTTACATCTTAGATCGTGTATTTAAAGCCCCAGCACAGGACGCCGTGTGTAATAAATACCTGCCACCATTATTACTATTAGTACAAGACATTTCTTGAAAGTCACACTTTTACTGCAAAATGGAGCCTCAGACATAATTAAAAGGTCAGATTTCCATGAAAAGTGGGCAGAGTTACATCAGTGTAGAGCGGTGACGCTGTTGCCTAATGCTCAGAGCCCCCGGCCAGCAGTTACACGTGCCTTTAGTAAGCACAGATGAAGAGAATCCTTGCTTAGCAAGTCCGTTTGGGCAGAGAAAGCACCGCAGACGTGAAGCCTGAGGGGTGTGGGGAAGGAAAGGGTCCCGTAATGAAAAGCCACAAGGACCCACCAGTCTAGCACACTGATCAGTGCTTTCTGGCTGGAAGATCTTAACAAAAGTAACACACGGATATTGTCACTGGGCCACGCTCAGAAGCCCTTTGGCAGGTTTTGCCCATTGACCAAAGTTCCAGGGGCCCCTGGGGCCCGCAGCGGTCAGAGGGAGTTGTTCCATACACTGGGAAGGAGAACTGCTCTTGGAAGTGCTCGGGTGCCCGCCCCACCCCCACCCGTTTTACAGGCGGAGAAACAGCCCAGAGTGGCACGGCCATCACATGGTAGGGCTGCACACCTAAGATGCTTGCTCCCGGTCCAGTGTGCTTTCTGAGCAGGTTCCTCATCCAGAGGGGGCACCACGCCAGGGGGTGACCCACAGTCACCAGGGAGTTCTTTCTGAGGGACAAAGGTCATCTCAACTTCCCTCTGCAGGAAAGTCTCCCCCTCCCCTCTGTGTGTCATGAGGGGGAACAGGAGTGGAGGACAAATGAGCCAGCTCAGGGAGGCCTGGTCGGTTGCGCCTGTTCCCGAGGCCTCCTCAGGACGCCCCTGTTTGGAGAGTCTGGGCAGCGGGTCAGAGCCGGGGCCTGGAGCCTGTGTGAGTGAGCACACCAGGCGCCCGATGAGCAAGTTCTGGGAAGCAGAAAGTTCATCCAGGCCAGCGGACTCTTGAACTATTTTCTGTCTCGGAGTGGGTGATGCGGCTGAGCGGAGTGGGTGGTGCGGCTGAGCGGAGTGGGTGGTGCGGCTGAGCGGTCACCAGGGATTTCCCCCTTGCAGCTAATGAGAGACTCAGCCTGTACGCTGTTCCTTACAGCACCTTTCTCGTTTCCGACAGAACCCAGACTCCTGGGCGCACAATGGCAGCGGGCACACAGCAACGCACACGACGGTGCTGCCTAACGTGCTCTGGGGAGACGGTGTGAGTGAAAGACGCCCTGTCTGCCCTGGGTGACATTAACATCTCTCTTTGGCTTTGTGTGCAGACTGAAGGACCTGGAGCTACCTGCCGTGGGCGGGTCAGACGTCCACGTGAAGATGCTGGCAGCCCCCATCAACCCATCTGATATAAATATGATCCAAGGTAGCCTTGCTTTCTGTGGTTTACATGGATTGGCTTTTTTGTTGTTGCTGCTCAGTCACCCCCTCACTTTCATCCCTCCTCAGGTGTGGGTGTGAGATGCCTGGGGTAGCAGCCGCTGTGCCCCAGATGCAGATGCACAGTCTGCAGGCAGTGTGAGCCCCTGGCCTCCTCTCCCTGGGTTGTGAGGCTTTTCCAGAATTAGGAGGATTGCAGTAGGAGTAAACCAACCACAGCGATGAACCTGCAACATACTGGGCTCCTTTCTTACATTATCTGGTTGAATCCTCCTAATAACCACAAATGCAAAAAAGCATTGTCCCCCTTCACAGGTGAAGAAGCTGAGGCTCAGAGCGGTCGGGTGGTAACTAACACAGCTGGTCAAAGGCAGAACCCAGGTCGGGCTTAGGCCTGACTTGAGGTCCATGCTCTCGCTGCCCAAGCCTGGTCGGATGACCCTCTGTGCTCTTCCTCCTTAGGGAATTACGGCCTCCTTCCCACGCTGCCTGCAGTCGGAGGGAACGAAGGCGTCGGACAGGTGGTGGCAGTGGGCAGTGGCGTGACCGGGGTGAAGCCAGGAGACTGGGTGATTCCAGCAGCTGCTGGTTTGGGTGAGTTTCTCCAGGTACCTGCAGCCTTTCGTTGTTCCAGATCCTAGTTCACACGCACTGGAGAGGTTTGCTCACTGGCTCACTGCAACTAAGCAGCTCGGGGTCTATTGTTAAGTCCACAGACCTCGCCTACCCTCAGGGCAGGTGGGAGCTGAACACAGAGAGCAGAAATTCTGTCTCTTCCGCTCAGAAGGTGAGTTGCCTGCTCTCTCATCTCCATGGGCTCATGTGGATTGGAGCTGTGATTCTCTGAATCCCCAAATCCCTGCTGTGAGGTTCAGTGTGGAACACAATCAAGACAGCCCCTGCCCTCCAGGAGGTTAAGGTCCAACTGAAGGAATCTCCAAACCAATAACCTCAGCAAAGGGAATGCTACAAATTCAAATTCACAGGAAGCGGAAGACGTTCCTGGCGACTCTGTGCGCCAGTGTGGGGGGGGGGGGGGGGGGGACAGTCTTAAGGGAGAATCAGGGCTTCCTGGAGGAGGCTCATAGGAACAGACCTTTGACAGATGAGTTTTGTCGATGGAGAGGAGCCAAAATCATTGCATTTGGAGGAAACAGAGGAGCAAAAACACAAAGATGAGTTTGGGAAATGGCAGAAAATCCGGCACAGCCTCAGCAGAGGATGTGCACTTGGGAGAAGGTGGCGTGAGTGAGAAGGTCACAAAGGTAATGCGGCCACACGGGACCCTGCAAAAGCCACACAAAGCATTAGGGCCCCCTTTTCAGTAAGGAGTCATTGCTGAGTTATTCAACACTTGGTGGGTTTTGAGGCGCAAATATTACACAGAGGAGTCCTCCCAGCAGCCACGGGAGGGAAGCGGACAGACATTGTCAATCCCATTGGGCAGGAGGAACTGAAGCTTGAAAGAAGCCCTTGCCCAAACTGAAATAGCGGACTGAAAGAGAACTCACCAGACTCGCTTTCTCTGTTTTCCCCACTACACCCCAGCTGTAGGACTCTATGGGTTATAACTTCCAGAGAGTCAACTCAGACTTGCTTTACAAAAAAAGAAGCTAATCAGTCTGTGAAACTGGGAAATGCAGGAGATAGAAGGCTTCAGGCAGAGCTGGAGCCAGGAACTGCAGTGATGTCAGAGCCCTGTCTTTCTCTTGTTCTTATTTGTTCTTAGATGGGCTCTCCCACACAGTGATATAGTAATAGCAACAAATATTTATCAACCACTCCCTGTGCACCAGGCACTGTTCTGAGGACCTTACATATATTAACTCATTTATTCCCACATGAGGTAGATACTGTTATTCCCATTTTGCAGATGAGACGATAGTAAATGTAAAGGATTAAGTAATTGCCCAGGATCATCTAGCTAGTAAGTGGTAGAACTAAGATTCAAAATCCCCTCTGTTACATAACCTTTCATAGATGGCCACCGGCAGCCAGAGGTTTACGTCATCCTGAGAACATCCTGCACAGTCCATTCAACACAATCATATCCATCCCCCAGCAGGGCACCCAACAGTCCTCTCTGGGTCCTTGCCCATCCGTGACCCCACCACCAGGGCAATAGGGTTGGGCCAGTCCAATCGCTTAGTTGATTCTCTTGCCCATCTCTGTGGTATGGAGGGTGGGCCTTGTGGTTGAGAGCCCCAGAGGTTAGGAAGCAGTAGTTCTAGAAGGAAAAAGGCGGGGGGAAAAACAAATGAACCAGTAACAGAAGTCCACGAGAAGCTCTTTGCTTCTCTGAGATCAGGAGAGCTGCCGAGAATGGCCACACCCTCTCCTCCCGCCACCTGGCAGTGAACGTACCCGGCCATGTGAACGAACGGGGAGCTGCAAGGGCTCACTGGACACCGGCTGGTGCTCGGACCAGTGCCCGTGCAGGGTGAGGAGCACATGTGGTGGGGCAGGTAGGCCCTGCCCGCAAAGGGCTCCCGCCTGGGAACAGGAAAACAGCTATACAACGCAGTGTAACAAGTGCCCCTCTCACCGGATGGCACAAAGGCGAGAATCCTGTATCAGGAAGCTTCAGGAACTGACGATTGAACTTAGTTGGAAACACTGAGTAGTGGAAACGCAGCCAGCGGGCTGGGTGAGGGAAGGCTTCCCTGGCAGGGAGTACAGCATGGGCAAAGGCATGGCGCCATCACTGCTGCAGGCAGCTCAGTGTGGCTGGGCCCGGGGAGAGACCGTGCAGAAGCAAGGTGAGGCTGGAGAGGTGGGCTGGGGCCCAGACAAGGAGGGCTCTCATCCACGGTCAGAGGGGGCCTGGTGAGGCGTTAGGAAGAGGAACGATTTGATCAGACTCCTGCAGTGCAGAGAATGCTCAGGAAGGGCAGCAGCCACGTGGAGGCAGGAAACCAGTAAGGAAATGCCTGACTTCAGGTGATGAGTGTCTGGACAAGACAATGACGCAGGACTGCAGGAGACATGGGTTTAAGAGCTAAAGTAACAGAACATGGTAATTAGACTTGGAGAGAACAACAGAGGACATCTGCCAGGCGTGTGGGTAATTGCACAGGGGATGCCGGTGGTGGTGGTGGCCAGAACAGGTCTTTCTCCCTGGAGGAAAAGCGAGTCTTTTAAACCAGGTGCCAGTCAGAGAGGATGAGGATTTTATGATTATCAGGACTATAATTAGTTCAGTTTATTCAGTAAACATTTTGGGAACATCTGTGCTGTACTGGGCCCTAATATACAGCAGTGAACAGACCTGGTCTTGTCGTGAAGGCTGCAGCTCAGTAAGAGTGGTAATTAGGTAAACAGCTAAGTCCTCTACTGGCCAAGTCTTGGTCATTTTTCATGGTATTGAGCTGCCCAGCCATTGCTGTGGCTCTAGTGAGCTTTTCCCCACGTGCATCCCAACTAGTCCCGAGGGCGACGGGGCCGGAGAATGTGTGATCTAACCTACCCATTGCAAACAGTCAAACCCCGGCTGAGGCCCTGGCTGATGTGGCTCAGTGGATTGAGCCCAGGCCTGCGAACCAAAGGATCCTTGGTTCCATTCCCAGTCGGGCACATGCATGGGTTGCAGGCCAGGTCCCCAGTAGGGGGCACACAAGAGGCAACCACGCATTGGCGTTTCCCTCCCTTTGTCCCTTCCTCTCTGTCTAAAAATAAATAAATAAACAAACAAACAAATAATTTTAAGGGCCTGGCTGAGGCAGCACGGAGCAGGAGAAAAGGGACTGGCCTGGGAATCACATGCGGGCTCTCCTTCCACCTGCCCTGTCTGACCTTAGGTCACAACTATTGCATTTTGGGCCTCAGTTTGCTCATCTCTAAAATGGACTAATAGTTACTGCCTTGCAGCTCAGACACTACTCAACTGAGGTAATGGGTGCAGCGATCTTTGCAAATGCTAAATCTCTGTGTACATTAGATCAGGGTTAGGAAACTTTTTTCTTGAATGGCCAAATAGTAAATATTTTAGGCTCTGCCTAACGTACCACCCCTACTCAACTCTGCCATTTTAAGTAGCCATAAACAATTTCAGAAAGTGAGCGTGGCTGTGTTCCAGTAAAACTTTATTTACAGAAATAGGTGGTGAGCCGGATTTGGCCCACGGGCTAGTCTGCCGACCCTGCATTAGGTGATGGAGATGGCGAAGGGTCAATGGCACATGTGTGAGCAATGGCTGTGCCCAGAGCTGGGGCCCAAGACTCAGGACCAGCAGAGGGGCGGTGCTCCTTTCCCACCCACTCGGCACACGACGGTCTGCACGAGCGCCATCGCGCTGAATCTTCACACAAATGCAGCGAGATGCTCTCCTCTCTGTTTCATACAGTGGGAAAAGTGAAACTCAGAAAAAGTGAAGTAAAAATCTGAGATCGCACCACTAATGGGTGGCAGAACAGTTTTTAATCAGGTCTCTCCAGCTCCAAAGCCTCAGGGTTTCTCCTTTCAACCCCTGGAGTCCCTCGGGGCTGGCCTGGGCACTGTCCTCACCCCGCCCAGGTCCTACTGAGAAGAGGATTAGGGACAGTCAGGCCCCAGAAATCCCTGTCAAGGGCTGAATCTCCCTTGTCGTGCCACTAAGGGGAATTAGAAGACAACCTTGATTTCATGCATACAAGCCGGGCACCAAGCGTTTGGCATGGACTAGAGTACAGTAAATGTGGGCTGCAATGCGGGGGTGACGATCACGAAGAGGACGATGAAGACTTGAGAACCAGGCCCAGTGAAGCCCAGAGAACACCAAGGCCCCTCTGGGACCCCAAAGGAACCCTTCAGTTTTTCAGCCTCTTATTTTTTCTCAGTCACAGATCTGCTCTGGGATTGACACGGCCTTTAATCGTGTCCTGCTCCTTATCCCCAATTCCCGGTCCCTAAAGTCCAAATATTTTCTACACTCCTGCAGCACAATTAGTAGTCGCTTAAGCTGCCTCTTACCCCCCATACCTGGGACGTGTGGCACCAGGAGACAGGATTCCGGCAACTGAGTAATGAGTGCGCATACCCACGGGCTTCGGAAATTTCGGCCCAGGGCCCTGGGACAGCACAGCCAGCAGACACAGAGCCAGCAGGCTGCGCGGAGTTTCCGTACGGCAGTTTCCAGCCTCGTGTGTGCGTGGCACAGCCTGACTCCAAAGTCGTCCTCTCCGCCTCCGCTTTGTATGAGACCCTGCCTGCCTGGGCGAGCACCTGCCACCCCGCCCCCGGTGCCCTTCAACCCCTGCCGACATATCTTCAGCAGACAGTTCAAACCCATCTACTCTTCTCCATGCCCACCGCCAGCGTCTGGGTCTAGACAACCATGGTCTCAGGGCTCAACCCCTGCAGAAGCCTCCTGGTCGGGCCTCCCATCTCCACTCTGCCCCTCACCACGCCCGTCTCTTCCTCTAAGCAGCAACAAAGTGTCTTAAAGCATAAATCCAGTGGCCCCAGGGTTCTCTTAAAGCTCATTAGAAACTTCCCGTTCACTAAAATAAAATCTATTCTCCATGCCATGGCCCTGAGCTCTGTTTTTCAGACTATAGGTTATGACCCATTCGCAAAATCAGTAAAGTGAGTTGCAAACGGAATTCTTTTTTACTAGGGCAGAGTAGAATGAAGAATGAGATGGTAGGGTAAATATTGGTCCGTGAAAACATTTGGTGTGTGTGTGTGTGTGTGTGTGTGTATACACACATGTATTAATATATGTATAGACACACATATATGAAGACAGATACATAAATATTTATAGAGAGAGATACACAATCACGTATACACACCAACAGAGAAAGAGATTCATATATGCGTGTGTCCTGAGTTACAGCATCACTCATGGTTCCTCTAGTCCAGATCATGAAATTCTCTGAAACATTCATTCAGCCCGTAATACCTCAGCTACATCTTGACCACTCTTCCCATCACTCTCTGCCCCCGATTTCCACCCTGATGTCCGGCCTGCCTCAGAGTCCCCGTGTGTGCGTTCTCCTCTGCCCCGGATGTCCCTGAGTGGCTAATGACACCACCCTTTAGCCTGTTACCTCCTCAGAGAAGCTGTCGCTGACTCCCGTCTAAAGTAATTCTCTCCACTGTTACTCTGTCCCTCTATAATTTATAATTACTGTGTTTTCTTGTTTGTTTCTCACTTGTTCTACTCCACTAGAGTGGAAACTCCACGAAAGTAAGGCACGCATCCGCGCTGTCCTGGTGCGTGGCTCATAGCAGGTGCGGGCGGGGGGGGGGGCGTCTGAGGAGGGAGGGGCAGCCTGGTTTCCAGGCCACTGGGCGAGTCGCTTCCTTAGTTTCCTGCTCTGCAGAGTGAGGAGGTTAAACTCCCGACTCTCAAGGGCCTTCTCAGCAGTGACATTTTACGAGTCTTTAGTCTGGGACTGGAGTGTGGCTTGGTAGTTCATGATCATTTCTTTCCATTTATAGGACTTTTTTATTGCCCGTATCTCATTTGATCTGTGCAGCAGCTCTCGGAGGAGGCCAGCCAGGCTCTTCCTGACAGTGTCGTTTATCTACTAGAGGAACGAAAACTCGAGTGACGTGGGGATTTGCCCAAAGTAGCAGACTAACACCACCGGGTCCCAAACCTAGGGCTCCAACTTCTACTTCCATGTGTTTTCCCATAACCCCACCCAAGTCAGCCTGCCCTGGGTGAGACTGCGGACCCAGGAGGAAAATGGGAGCTTTCTTGGCCTCTCACTTTCCTGGTAATGATGTTACTGTCTTACCCTCAAAGTGCAGTAGCCTGAGATTCTTAGCCACCCACTGGGTAGCATTAGCCAATGGTAGTTAACGTGGGAACAACACAATCTACACCTCACTTAATTATGAGGACTCAGAGGCATCCAAAAGGACTTCAAGATTGTTTTTGTTCTCTAACCCTTCTTTGAAGTCTGCTGTCCTAGAGGCCCGTGCACTGAGGAGGGTGGACGGGGGTAGAGGAGGAGAGGGCCCTCCTTCACTGCCCAGAACTCCTCCGCTGACCCAGGAACCTGGCGGACCGAGGCCGTGTTCAACGAGGAAGCGCTGATCGCAGTTCCCAGCGACATCCCTCTTCAGAGCGCAGCCACACTCGGCGTCAACCCCTGCACAGCCTACAGGATGCTGATGGACTTCGAGCAGCTGCGGCAAGGTAGGACCCTGCAGGCGGGAGGAGCAGGCCAGCATCTTCCAACTGGGTGTGACCCAAGTCCTGGCGCCGAGGTCAAGGGCACTCAGGCTTGGGGAGGAAGACGGGCCCTCACTCGGGTGAGTGTGGTGTGGATGCTTCTGCTTAGAGAGATGTTAGCTTGGTTCCTGGAATACACGCTGAACCCCCATGAGGAGCACATTCTGGAAAACTGCTGAAGGGTCACATTCTTGGAGCTTGGGCCGGAATCCTGTCATTCAGCAAAAACAGGTCGAGCTAAACCCTAGGGATACAGAGCCAGGCGAGGTAGACACAGGCCCTGTGTTTTCAGTAGAATGCTGAACTCAGTAATTCCACTCGGCATCCACGTATCACTTTGCAGTTCACATGGGGGCCTCCACGGCTCTCCCACGTTGGATGCGTGCAGTGGTCAGAGTGCGCAGTGAGCGAGGTGCCCCTGGTTGAGATGCAAGCCCCAGACTGACAGCCTGGGCCTGAACTCCAGCTTCACCTTCACTAACTGTGTGCCGGCCTCTCAGGTCATCAGACTTTGTGAAACGGAGGCTGGGAATTCCGAGGGTGAGCTGAAACCCTGCAGTGACACCTGGCGCAGGGCCTGGCCTACAGGGCAGTGACCACCCTGCTTTCACCATTCGTCCTTTTCAGGAAGGAGGAAGCTGAGATGCAGAGACGTAAATTATCCGTGTGAGATCCCTCAGCAAGGAAATGACAAAACCGGGTGTTTTGTTTGGGGTTCCCTGGTAGCAGAGTCCGAGATAAGGCCTGGGGACACACAGTTCACTGGGGAGGTAACTTGGGAATCAGGAGTAAGGGAGAGGGGAGAGTGAGATGGGAAGGGGGAGAAGCCAGTGAAGGCCGGTTACTGGGGTGGGCGACCACGGCTCAGTCCTGCAGGGGCCCTCCAGCGACCCTCAGAGCACCCACCTCAGCATTACCTGCAATGGCAGGAGGTCACCCACCCACTCTCATGCCCCATGTGGGAGGCTTCCCTGCACGTTGTGCATGTCCGCAAGCTGGTAGGACCGTGGAAGTCCCCCAGCTTACCCCTGCCATGCCAGCGAGGAACCTGAGACCAAGAGGTGTTGGAATACAGTAAACTTAGGTGGCCGCTGCCGCCCCAGGCCAGCTGGAAACCAACCCCAACTTCCCACGGAGAGCAATGCAGGTCTCGCAGCGCTAGCAGAGCAGTCCTAGCAACTGACAGCGGGGAAAGCCAGCAGGTGTGGCCGGGGACCTTTGCTCAAGCCTAGTGAGTGGACACTCTGGTCATCTGTGCCTCACCTCTTCGGGTCACCCCTGACCTGGGCCACCACTGTGGTGGACACAGCAGGGCATTCTGCGACACCCCACCTCAGGTGCCCACCATGCCCCTTCACTTTCCTGACTCGGGGCTGGTGTGGCCTAGGCTAGATTGGCATTGAACTTATGATCTTGACCCACAGTAAGAATTCCATTTTGTATTAAAATCCAGAACATAGACATGTATGAATATACATATAATGGGAACCAAAATTTCATAGAGCAATATTTACCCTTACTATGTGTGATGTGCTCTGCTGTTTTTTATTCTAGTCCCTTCTGTTTCACTAAAAAAAAAAATGCCACTTGTGACCCACTCCATTGATTTCATAACCCACTAATGACTGACAGCCTGTGTGACACCCTGACCTCAGAGAATGGGTGTCCTTCCAGGACGTCCTCTGTCTCTCGCACCAGATCCTGCTGCCTGTCCACACCCGGACAGCACTCCAGGGGAACGGAGCGCCTTCCCGGGCACGACAGCATCGGCTCCATTTCGGAGCGTCCCGACTGATGCTGGCAGGGCTCCCGCTTCATTGGGAGGGAAACCAGTTCAGAGAGGCCATGACCTGCCCTGTCTCGTTCAGTTACCATCACTGGCGAAGCAGGACTCACACCCAGGCCCATCCTGTTTTAGGGTGCCCGTTTTCCCCAGCATGCCGCACTGCTTCCCCAGGAACTACTTCCAGATCTAGGGCTGGGCTTGGACTACAAACTATAGGACCCTGTTTCAGGGGCTGTGCAGCTTCTCCAGGATGGCTGTCATCCCGTTTCCAGGCCATGAGCCTTTATTAAGCAGTATGGAGGGAGAGTAGGCATAGCCTTCGCCTCAAGAAGCTGCAAGCTCTGGGTACAGTTGGACCCATATACAACCAAGTAGAAGATGAGGCCCACTGTGTGGATTAGCAGAGACAGATGCCTGCAGAGTGCTGTGGGGAAGAGCCTAGGAGGGCTTCATGGAGGAAGCTGCACACTGGAGCTGCACTTCAAAGGATTTCAGTAGGATTTCAAAATGAAGGGAGAAAGAAGAAAGTATTGCACACCAAGGATATAACCTAATCAGAGATTTGAGGACATAAGAATTGGAGGATGACAAAGGATATAAAATCATTTTTACACAGCAGGGTCTAAATTTCGCCCACTGTAGACTCTGATATGCCAAGTCTTAGGAGGCACCGAGGGTGTTGTGGAAGTTTGGGGGGACCATTGGGAGAAGAGGGAGCAACACTCCAAGGTCTGAGAAGGCTCCTCAGCCAGGTCCCTGCGCCCCGTGAGCCTAAGTACTCCATCTCTTGCCTAATGTGATAGGAACGCAGGCTGGAAGCCCTTGACCAATTACATGTCTCCAGGGCTTGATCTGAGTCTCTTCCTGGCTCCACAGGAGATTCTGTCATCCAGAACGCATCCAACAGTGGCGTGGGGCAAGCAGTCATCCAGATCGCCAGGGCCCTGGGCCTAAGGACCATCAACGTGGTCCGAGACAGGTACGTGGGAGGTGGCATCCCAGATCCTGACTTGGGCCTTTCCACCTGGTGTCCCTGCGTCTCCACCAGATGGCGCCCTTGCATAAGCAGGCTGCTCAGGCCCAGCTGTCAGAGAAGAGAGACTAAGTCTGGACTTTAGGACAAGCGAATCTCGCAAAGGTGAAGGGAGGGCAGGAAGGAGGTGGAGCTGGTGGTGATTGAACACTAGCAGAGTTTGAAACTCTTGACTTGTGATAACCCCATGTTTTCAGACGAGATCGGGCGCTTTCAGGGTGGTATGGCCGTAGACGACCCCATGTTTTCAAAACCACAGTACATATATGGGAAGGTTTTCAGCTGTGTTACTCTTTCTGTGAACCATCTAACCCAGGGCCTTTCCCTTGCATGAGTGTGCACCTCTTAAGTGCACAGAATACGGATTGAAGGGCAGGGGCAGGTTCATCACCTCTGTTTTATCCATGAGGAAACTGAAGCTTCAGAGAGGAAGCAGCCTGCTCAGGGGGCTGCACCCTGCAGGTCCGTAACAGACTTCCCTTCCTGACTGGTTCCCCTTCCCTCAGATCACTACACCCGGCTGTCCACAAGTGTGGCCCTGTCTGTCGTGGAAGTGCGGGCTTAGGGGGAGAATTGATACTCGGTTCAGTTCCCCACCCCCTCGGGTGTGTTAACGGAAATCATTGTTTGCCTTGGGCACTCTGGGCTGGAGTGTGTTTGTACAGCACTCTGAAGAGCCCCTTGAAAAGAGAGGGGAGCGGAAAGGAAGTGGGGTTTGTCCTTCACTAGAAGAAATCAGGAAGTGAAATGACTTCTGGGTGGGGATGGTTTTGAGCATCCCTGAGCTGGCAGGAGCTGCACAAACCGCCCAGCCCCGAGCAAACCCAAGCCCAGAGATGGGGGAGCTTGATGCACCGGGCGGCGGCCCCACCCCCCCCACCGAGGTCTGGCTGACACCCAGCCCCAGCTTCCCACAGGGAGGCTCACAGGCTCACAGCTGCCGCAGAGGAGCCCTAGGAGCCTTGCTGGAGAAGGTGAGCACGTGTGACCAAGGACCATGTTTACTTTCCAGACCTGACATCCAGACGCTGGCCGACAAACTGAAGAATCTGGGGGCTGAGCACGTTATCACAGAAGAGGAGCTGAGAAAACCCGAGATAAAAAGCCTCTTTAAGGTACCTCGGATGCGGGGCAGTGCCCTCCAGTCCGTGCCTGCCCGCCACAGAGAGCTGGCTTCATCTAGAGCAGCTGGGACCCGGCCCCACTGTCCCTCCTCTCGTCGCCCCTCTGTCTCCTCGTGGGAGGCTGAAGCCCACCCCTCGGCCAGGGCACAGCGTGGAGCAAGTGCCCAGGGGCTGTGAGAGAGGCAGGGGAAAAGACAGGGTGGAGCAAGCCCTGTGTGAAGTGCAGTTTTGAATGTTTGTGTTGGGGCCACACAACCATGTAGCCAATGGGAATCTCAGAGCTGGGAGAGGGCCTGAGGAAACTGAGGCACAGACAGGAAAGAAAAAGAAAAGAATGACGTTCCCTAGGTACCTACCTTCCATTTTATCTGTTAGTCCCACAAAGCAGGTGCTATCTGTTTTATAGATGAGGAAACCCAGACTCAGAAAAGATGAAGGTTTTGACCGAAACCACACTGTCAAAGTGGTGGAGTAGGGGCTGCCCCCAGGACTCTCTGAACTCAGAGCTTCTGAACCTTCCAGAGCGTCCACCCCAGCACACTAGTCAGTGCCTAAGCCACATGTCAGCCTCTTCTCACTGAACCCCCAAGTGACCGAGCACACGCTCTGTCGGGAATGCACACCCCCCGAGGACACTCCTGACGCAGTGGGTCTAATACGAACTGAGCTCGGGGTGCCGAGAAGAGGTGCGCTTGGGGAAATGAAGTCCTTGGGAATGGACTGCAGCAGCCCTTTGTCTCTTCTTTCCCAGAGGAGGGGAGATCTGAACGAAATTCTCAAACAGATCATAGGATTAGGTTGGTAAAGAAAAGGCCATTCCTGAGCAGGGGAAAAAAGAGAACTCTAAGACAAGAACATCCTGTTTTCTTCACCCCAGTCCTCTAGCCACTTGGGCCAGGGAAGCGGTGGGTGGCAGCGTCCCCCCACGTGCAGAGCGGGAGCCCCCTCACTGCAGGCCCCTTGTTTTCCAGGACACGCCTCAGCCTCGACTTGCTCTCAACTGCGTGGGCGGGAAGAGCTCCACAGAGCTGCTGCGGCACCTGGCGTGAGTCCGTGAGCCCAGCAGGGCCAGTTCGCGGCACTCCCCTGGCCTGTAGCTGCTGGGCCAAGTCATGTCCTAGTTCTCTGGGCGCTTCCTGTCTCGGCCACCTTCATCACAAGTGACTGAGAAGCCCACCCAGCATTGTTTTTCCCAGGGACCCACTGCCAAGCTATCTGTGAGGGGGGTTGGTTATGAACTTATAACTTAAGGGCATCTTAAATAGTCACTTAGTCCTAGCTTATTAGCTTTTAAAAATAGATTCTAATTTCAGAGGTAATACGATGCTTATTGTAAAACATTTTGAAAGCATAAAAAAGTACAAAGGAAAAACTAAAGCACCAGAGCTACCGGTCATCCCACCACTGCGGGACTAACAGCGCGTGTCCTTCCCTTCTTTTTCCCATTAATGCAAACTCGGGCAGAAGTGTGCCCGAAGGGACACTTCCCAGCGACAGCAGGAATCCCCTAAACTGTTTCAGTTAACGTGTATTTGCTAGCACTCAGCAGCTGCAGCGTGTAGAGATGGCTGAGACACCCGAGGAGATCCCTCCAGAACTCACAGTCTAGGCGGGGAGATGGGTCAAAGGGCAGGGAAAACAGTCACTGAGAGTTTACTGTGCACTGAATCCTGTGCAGGGAGTTTGAGGTGCCCCTCCCCCAGCCACCCTGGCCAGGGGTGCTGTGCCCACCCCCATTTAAACAAGGCCCCAAGAGGATGGTCACCTACCCACGATCTAGGAAGCAGCAGAGCCAGGCTCAGCCCTGCTCCAGGCAGCCTCTGAGGGAAACTGCGGTGTGGCGGGGAGAGAGGCGGTCTGGGCCCATGTCAGCACCGTGCTGCAGGCGCACGCCTGAGAGCGGAGCAGGGCCAGACCGAACACAGGTCTCGAGCTTTTCTCAGCGGAGCGAGCTTCTCTGCGGAGCCTCATCAGAGTCTGGCTGGGCAGTTAGAGCGGTGGGCCCCCAACCCTGCCCCCACGTCCAGGTCACCTAGAGGGGTGGTGGTTGTTTTTAATAGAGACCCTTCCCCCCTGGTTCATTAGGTCTGGGGTAGGGCCTAGGAATCTGGATTTGGGGCCCTTCCCAGGAATTCTGAAAACAAGGTTTAGGCTTTAGAGTTGGAATAGAAGTGCTGTGGCAGATTCCAGAAGGGCCCCGTGCACCCACTCCGTTCTCTCTGACTCTTCAGGCCTGGGGGAACCATGGTGACCTACGGGGGCATGGCCAAGCAGCCCGTCATAGCTTCCGTGGTAAGCCGGTGGGGAAGGGAGGCCCGGACGCGGGCCCAGACTCCGCAGCTGTCTGGGTTCAGGCAGCCCGTCCCTGGGGGAGGAATGTTTACTTTAAGTGGTACCTGAAGTCCTCGCCCTCGGAGCCTCAGTGTGTCCTCTGTGTCCCCAGAGCCTGCTTATTTTTAAGGATCTCAAACTTCGGGGCTTTTGGTTGTCCCAGTGGAAGAAGGACCACAGTCCAGGTGAGTGCGTGGTAACCCCCTTGCCAGGGGTCACACAAAGGGCAGTGCCTGCTGTAGAAGCGACCAGACTTGGAGCCCTGGATCAGTGATTGGACGCCCCAGCCCCACAACAGAATAAAGGAAAACAGCCTCTAACTGCAGCTGTACTTAGCAACAGTTACCAGACTAAAGTGGGCTTAGTCCTCAGGGGCGTAACAGTGAGCAAGGCACACCCTGCCCTTCCGAGAGGCACTGGCGTGGGAAGACCGCCGTGACACACGACCAGGCAAAGGAGGAACGCTCTGGAGCCAGCCTGCCCGCGTCTCCCGTTTCTGGTTGTGGGTTGTGCCTGGCCTAACTGCGGGACCTGGACAACCTCTGCCCCGGTTTAGACGTCATCGTAGTTTAGACGTCATCATAGTTTAGACTGTTGTTGGCCCTATTTGGCAGAAGAGGAAACTGAGGTTCAGAGTGGTTAAGTAGCTTGCCCAAAGTCACCCCACCTAGGGAAGGGTGCAGCCAGGATGGGACTAGCTAATCTGTCTGACCAGAACCTGATCCGAGCTGGAACATTCTTCCCCTCCTGGTGGACTGGCTCCCCAGAGACTGACCCCCAAGTTGAGACTGAAGGATGACGAGGGGTCATCCAAGTGAAGAGAGGAGAGGGGTGGTGTGAACGGGGTGCTTCAGGAAGAAGAGACAGCATGTGCAAATGCCCAGCAGGGAGAATAGGAAACTGGACATACAGGTTGTGACCGCCTTATAAAAGGCCTTATAGTCTTCTTAAGGAGCTCAGAGTCTGTCTTAAGACAGCTAGAGAGCCGTGGAAGCGTTCTAAGCAGAGGGTATGATCATATGTGAACGCTGAATGCATTGATGTCTATGAGAAAACACTTCTCAGCCAAGGTCGTCACTTCTTACCTCCCAGTACCCTACTGGGTCCTCAGTGGGAGGGGATGCTGGCGGGTCTGCTCTCAGAGAGCTCCCTTCCTGAGCAGAGCTGATCTGTTCCGCCCAAGTTGTTGTGCCAGCTACATCCACCTCCCTCCCTGATCCTCTTCCGGCTGCCCTGCCTGGAAGTAATCCTGCCTCTCCCGCCATTCAGACTCCAGGTCACACCCCAGCAAGGTTCTGTGTGTCTGAGCCACCTGTCTGTCTGCCCATCAGTTCTGGGGCCACTCCCTATGTTCCTCTGCCCCCACCCCTGGCTCTCACTGTCCCGAACACGGGTGGGGACCAAGCAGCCTCCATGGCTGCCCTATCTGTGGCCAAGCCCTGGGCTCTCCAGGCTTTCCTGGGCTGCAGCGCCAGCTGCTACAGCAGGGGTGATGCGTGTGCCCTCTCCGAGCCCTGCCGCTGCTGCTGCACCCCTGTCTCACTGCCTCCAATGTCCCACAGCCCAGTTCAAGGAGCTGATCCTCACTCTGTGCGACCTCATCCACCGAGGCCATCTCACAGCTCCCGCCTGCACCGAGGTCCCCTTGCAGGACCACCAGGGTGCCTTGGAGACCTCGATGCAGCCCTTCGTGTCTTCAAAACAGATTCTCACCATGTGGTAACTCCAGCAGAGCCGGAGCGAAGTGTGAAGGGAAGGGGATCGATAGGACTGGTTTGGGCCCGTAGTCTGGGCCCTCAGCCTCCCACGGGCTGCTCCCCTCCTCCCAGTGACTTCCTACCAGGAGAGCTGCAAAGCCAGCCAGGGCCTTCTCCCAGGCCAGCCTCAGGGCACCTAATAAAGTCTGAACTTCCTAAACACAAACGAAACCCATAGAAGTCACCCCTTTTGAGAAGGGCCATTATTGTCACAGTGCATCTGCCATCTCCCAGGACTTAGATGCTCCTCCTTGCTTATCCTCCGTTTTTTCCCCCAGTGACCATTTACTGACACCCTGAAAGCAAAGCCAGGGTGGGCCTGGCAGGTACCAAAGCCAGTAAGACTCAATCTGTGCCCTCAAGCCACCCAAGCCCACAGAGGAGAATCTTCTAAAAGGGCAGGTTGAGCCCTGGCCGGTGTGGCCAAGTTGATTGGTCACTAGCCTGCAAACTGAAAGGTCACTGGTTTGATTCCCAGTCAGGGAACATGTCTGGGTCACAGGCCAGGTCCCCAGTTGGGGGCGTGCGAGAGACAATTGATGTATCTCTCTCACACTGATGTTTCTCTCTCTCTCTTTCTCTACCCCCCTCCCTAAAAGTAAATAGACAAAATCTTAAAAAAAAATAATGCCCTATTTCTAAGAAAAAATAAATAAAAATTAAAAAGCAGGTTGACTCATTCTCAGGTGGTATGCAGCTCAACGAAGAATCGTCCAGTCCAAAATTCAATAGTGCCTCTGTTGGGAAACCCTTTGTTAAACCAGGAATCCCATAATAGTTTCCATAGTGATCAGCGAGCTACAGAAGAGCCGTGTGGGAAGGTCTACAGGTGCCCTCTGGATAAGATTTGCCACCTTAAGCAGCTGAGTTCAGGATCCACTCCAAGTCCCTCATCGCCCTGTCCCTTATCCTCAGGATTAGGGGAACAAGCGATGTGTATGGAAGGCTTCTGTGGGCAGTGAAAAAAGCTTGAGAGGTGGTCAGGGGCTGCCCAAAGGCTTTCGGAGCGAGAGTTAAGGTTGGGTTCCTTGGGCAGTCCACACTGTTGGGCTAGAGGGAGTGAGGCGCCTGTGCAGGGAAGGGGCAGACAGGAAGGGGTAAGTTTGAGCGCACCATGGTTGGAGACCTCTGGGGGCGTTCAGAATTCCTAAGAACAATACCCCTGGGGGCCTGGGGGTGACATTTGGTTGGGCTTTAATGGGAGATGATTGTTTTCTCAGACAGGAAAGGGATACAAGCATTACAGATTAAGAGACCAGATTAAGCAGAATTGTAGAGGCAGGGCATTTATGTTTGCATCTTCTGACTTTCCCCCAATAGCCACTCTCTTCCTAGGAATTAAAACTGATGACTTTTAGGTGGGCACAGAGTAGGGCTACAATAAGCACTTCCCTGCCTCCCTTGCAGCAGATAAGGTCTGTCCCTTGTCACTGATGCAAGCAGACTGCATGTCAGTTTCTTAGGAGCCTCTTTCAAATAACTGCCATCTATTCTGAACTTTTTCTTCCCTTCCACCTACGGCCTGGCTGGGATGCAGATGTAATTCCTGGAGTTTGCATAGTCATCTTTGACCATGTTAAGAATGGGCCAGCAGCGAGAGAGCACAGGAGCCTGGGTGACACCCAGGAGCTTTGACTGTCCATCTTGGGAATTGAGGAATAAGTTTTACTTAAGAAATAAGCTTCTGTGATATTCAACCCCCTGGTGTTTGGACTTTCTCTGAACCTAACAATCGGAAGCTGAGAAAGTGCATTGTGGCGGTTTGTGATTCCCAGCTAAGGAACATGCACTTGATCCCATTGCAATAAGAAAAGATTTCTGAGCCAAAAGATCAAAAACCGCTTTGGAAAAATCTCTCCAGCAGCATGTTAGAAAATTTGGAGAAGGGAGGCACTAAAAGATAAAATCAGAAAATCCCGTGCTTCTGAATTTTAGATAAGTAAAATCTCCCTAAACTTGAAAGACCAACATCGGGGTTACCAGCATTTAAGAGGCCGGCAGAGGAAAGGAGGCAGACAAAATGATGTCAGAAGAGAATCTGACTTCAGCCCTGGCCGGTGTGGCTGGTCCCACAAACCAAAGGGTCTCAAGTTTGGTTCCTGGTCAGGGCACATGCCCAGGTTGTAGATTTGGTCCCCAGTAGGGGGCGTGCAAGAGGCAGCTGACACATGTTACTTTCTCGTTACTTACTCTCCCTTCCACTCTCTCTGGACTCGATCAAAGAAAAATAAAAATTTTAAAGAGAATCTGACTTAAAATGGATCACTTCTCCCATACTTTACAAGTACAGGAGATTACTTTTAATTTTCAGGCTGAATAATCTCTCTGTGGGGTTGAGACAGCTCTCCTGGCTCACTAAGTAAGCAATGCCATTTTTAATGGTTATAGGAGGAACCTTTGGCTCCAGGAAGCTAACATAAGACAAACCAGCATTACCTCCCAAACCAAAACTTGGGCACACCTGAAGCCCCAAGGCTCTGCGACTGGCTCTCCCTGGTGTCTTCTGGGAGCATCCATCCTACGACCAGTCTACAGCCACTGCTGTCATATTGATGATTGTCTGTGTTTGGAAGATGAGATCCTTAAGCCCGCTTTGCTCCGGGAAAGCATGAGGCCAAGAAGAAAAAGGTTCTTGCGTCAACCTGTGTATGCTGGAAGCGCTCAGTTGTACCCACCAGCCACATGCTACCTGGCAGGCACCATGGCCTGGGTGGGACACTGGGCCCAGACAGAGCAGCTGGAGAGGGTAGAAAAGAGACTCAGTCCTGGTACAGCACCTGCCTTCGTCTGGAGGCAGGAAACTCTTGGGGGGGGCGATAAATGGGAAGGAGACACTGGCCCCCTCTGAAAAGTAAGATAGTTTTCCCTACACCCCTAACCATCTGCAGTGTGCGAGTACTTTGACGTGTGTCTTCATTTGATTTTCACAGCTTCCCTGTATCGTTGCGATTTTAATATCACCACTTTGCTGAAGAGGAGGATGCTGAGAGAGATGAGGTGACTTGCTCAAGGTCACAGCAGGCAGCAGAGCTGCCCCCAGACACCAGGTCCCTGATCCTGTCTGGTCACCATACCAGTCAGTCCCAATTCTTTTGGCCTCACAGTTGGCCTTGAGCTCCCTCTTTTCTCAGGGCTCCTTGATCTTGTTCGATGACAATTAACATGTCAATCAGAGGAGTTCAAATTGCCCTGAGTCTATGTCTCATGGGTGGCATGAAAAAAAAAAACAGCACAGAACCAGGAGGTCATTGAAGTAGTCCATTTACTCATTCAGTAAATAGTCTGAACACCCATTATGTGAAAATCCCTGTCCCTGTCTCCAGGATAAAGCAGGAGACAAAAAATACCCCACAAAGACAAAAAACAAACTGGGGCCCCTGATACCAGGGAACTTATATTCTAGTGGAAAAGAAAAACTGAGTGAGTGAATAAACAAGGTAATTAGAGCATGATAAGTGTAGTGAAAAAATAGTATGGGGGGCATGAACTTGGAACAAGGTGAACACGGAAGGTCTGAGGCCTGAAGAAGGAGCCAGCCATGTTCCAGACAGAGGGAGCAGCACACTTAAAAGCCCTGATGTGACCCTGGCCTGGTAGCTCAGTTGTTTAGAGCATTACCTTCATATGTGGAGGCTGTGAGTTCAATCCCTGGTCAGGGCACATGTAAGAATCAACCAGTGAATGCATAAATAGGTAGAACAACAAATTGATGTCTCTCCCCCTTCCCTCATGCTCTCCCTCCCTCTCTCTAAAAATCAATAAATTAAACCTTTTTAAAACCCTCATGTGTGAACAGTATGATGAGGCCTGAACTAGCTTAGTAAGTGAAAGTGGAGAGACGTGAATAGGTTCATGAATATTTAAAAGGAAAAATCAAGAGGACAGGTGGTTGAAGGTTGAACTTTGGCACTTTGCTGGCTAGAGGTGCCACCCCCCGAGTTAGGGAGCACCAGAAGGAGGCTCAGGTGTTAGAGACAGGTGTTTCCCCCCCCCCCCCGCTGTGGGGCTCTTTTCTCATCCCTACGACAGACTGATCACATTATAGGACAACCAGGGTTAGTGCTAGTTCTTAATATTATGATCCTCACACTTTACTAAATTCTGAATGGATCAAAGATTGCAATAAAAAATAAGCCCTAGAAGTAACAGAATAAACCAGGGGAGGTTTTGGTTTTGTGGTGGGGGGTTTAACCTCAGTATGAAGAAGGCCTTTCAAACTACAGCACAAAATCCCAGAATCAAAGACAAAGAATGGGTAAGTTTGATCCCATAAATATCAAATATTTTTGCATGGCAAAAAACACTAGGCAACTGGGGGGAGATATTTGCAACTCATCTGACAAAGAGCTAATTTGCCTATTATACTGTCAGCTCCTATGGAAAAAAAATTAAGAAAAATGGTCAAAAGATATAAAAGACACAGAAGGTAAAATATAAAGTTCTCTTAAACATAAAATAAGGCTCACCCCACTCAAAATAAGATAATTTCAATTTATTGTACCCTACCCAAGATACCATTTTTCAGCTATCAGATTGACAGAGATCATAAAATTTGGTAAGTGTTAATGAGGAAATGAAGAATTGAGCAATATCTGTCAAAATTACATTTGCCCACACCCTCTGAGTACTTCCAGGAATAGATACAACGCACACAAACACACACACACACACACACACACACACACACACACAGTTACTCCTTGTAGCAGTGTCCTTCACTAGGGCACTTATTAAATAAATTCCTGTGTGTAAAATGTGTATTATGAGCTACAAAAATGGTTCTGAGGAAGCTCCTTTTGTACTCATATGTAATGATTTTCAAAATATCAGTGCATAACTCTATGTACACTACTATTTGCTTTATGTGTGTCAAATACCTCCAAAGGGACATTTAACAAACTGATTACACTGATTGCCGCTGGGGAGGGAAACTAAGCAGCCAGAGGAAAGATGGGAAAACTTTTCACTGTGTATCATTGGAATCAGTTAATGACTTATCTTTTCAAAACTAAATATAAGAAATAAGTAAAAACAAAACCCAAGAACCTCTTGTGGTTCTAGGTAAAGTGGATTAGTGAAAAAGGAACCAATATTAAGCTCCTACTGTTCAGTCCAGATATGGTTCCAAGCCCTTCCAACTACACTACCCCACTTATCCTGATATTCCATTGAAATGGGATAAATTATTCTAATTTTACAAGTTAGAAAGTAGGTTAAATTGGTCTTGTAACTTAGTCAATGTCAAGACTAGTCTCGCTCCAAAGCTCCATCCAGGCGTCTCCATTTTCCAAACTGCTTCTATTGAAGCAAAGTGTCCTATTTAAAAATAATTAATACTGGTGTTATTTATTGGGCACTTGAGATATGCTGGGAACACCACAAAATGCTTTGCGTAACAATCCTCAAGACAACTCTGGAAGGTTGGAAATTCTAGCCCACTTTCACAGAGAAGAAAAACGAAGCGCAGAGATGTGACCCGTAAAGAGCCCGAGGTCACAGATACAAGACGGTTACAAACCAGGCTTAATTCCAAACCTCCTATTCTAAAGTAGAAACCACACCCGCCCAATCCGAACGTTAGAAGCAGAACGCAGGCCGGGAGGGAGGATCACGGACACTTCCGCCCGAAGGGGCAGAGCCCGCGGCTGCGGAAGGCGGTGTGTATCCCGCCAAAGCGAGCTCGCGAGAAGATGTGTCGGGCTGGCTTGGGCCAACGGCCTCCGCACCGCCTCTGCCGTCTGTCGATCACCTGGCCCCGCCCCACGCTGGCGCACCCCTGGCAGGCTCCGCCCCCACCCCTGGCTGGGCGGGAAGCGAACGCGCGTTCCCTCCCGTTACCGCCCGCCTGCGGGAAGGGCGGGGGAGGCGGGAGGCGCGCGCTCGCGAACTACGTGCTCGCGTACGTCGCCGGGGTTCGGCTGCGTCGGTCTTGCCGTCCACCCGTTGCCGCCGTCGCCGCTGCCGTCGCCGCGCTCTCGCTTCGCCGGCCACCGCCTAAGGGGGTTGGGGCTGGGCCAAGCTACCGCCGCAGTTGCTGCGATGCCGAGGGTGTACATTGGCCGCCTGAGCTACCAGGCCCGGGAGCGCGATGTGGAGCGCTTCTTTAAGGGCTACGGGAAGATCCTGGAGGTGGATCTGAAGAACGGGTGAGGAGGGCGCAAGAAGGGCCGCCTGGCTGGGGACAGGGCCCCGGCGGTGGCGGGGATGCCGCGGGGACGGGAAAGGGAGGCCTGCCTGGCCCGGAGCTGCTCTCGGCCTGCTCCGGTTCCGCCATAGTCGCGGCGCTTCGGGGGCACGAGTAGGCCGTGGTTCCCACTGCGCCTGCGCGGGTGGGGGTGGTGGAGGGAAATGGGAGCAATGGTGAGGCTCGGAGTGGGATGGGGAGAAGGAAAACCCGAGTGATACTGGGGCTCCAGGCAGGAGTGCACAGCTTCAGGACGCGGAGGAGGCCTGGTTTTTCTCCAGCTAGGCACTGGGGCTGGGGACCGGTGTTTTTCCGGCTAGAGACCAACCTTTCCCGCTGAACGGACTGCTGTAAATAAACAGACAGGATTTCCTGCTCCCCTTTCCCTTTTCCCCAGTATAATGGACCAGACGGTCACAACGCATCTTTCCTGGGGATAGCAGATCTGGAGAGAAGCCTTGTTTAGACTTGCCATGTGCCACACTTTGTTGAGGCGGGAGACTTCGGTTTGAGTAGTTTAGTGACAGTTTCGAAAGTATCGTCTTGCCATGCTGAAAGACTTCACCGTTCCCTCTACAAGGGTAAAGCCTTAACTTGTTATCTTTAAGATTCCGTACAGAGTTTCCAGGCTGTGGTTTCCGTTCTCCAGCTTGCCAAAAAAAAAAATTGCTTTGTCGTTGTAGAATTTGGTGGAGAATAGTGGCCACCCCGGCTAGTACGCGCGTCAACTAGCTACTGTAGACTGAGACGCACAGCACGAAATTGCTTATTGCCTCCCTGGGTGTATATGGTCTGTTATTTGTGTTCCTAATCTACTTTGGCAGAGCAGGGCTCGCGGGAGCTACGTGTTTCAGGGAAAACCGGTGGGGAGTCGGATCAGAAAAAGAAACTCAACGGGGAAAACTATCAGAATCAGGAAAGTTTAGGTAGGACTTCAAAGACACAGACATAAAAATTAAAAGGAGTAAGGGCAGCATTTTAGGGTACCGAACCTTGGCTTTTTTTTTTTTAAGACCTGCCTTGCAGCAGGGCTAACGTTGCTACAGTTTGCTCCCCAGCAAACATTAGCAACTAACACTTGAGTAGTTGGGGAATATACCTAAATTTGAGTTGCATGTTTGAGAAAAATCGGTAACTACCATATACTCAGAATGTTGGGTGAGTTTTAAAAAGTCAAACCGATCGTTAGGAAAATCACCTCACTCAGAATAGTGTCCTCAATAAATTTTTTTTTTTTATGAATACTGACTTTGTTTAGAGTAAAAGACTTGGGAAAATAATCACTTTGTACAATAGAGCTTTCAGTTCTTAAGGGGTTTTTTTGTTATTGTAATACATATGTATGTGAGAGAACAAGTTAAAATTCCCAGTTTTCTTCAGAGCCCAAAAAAGTTGACAGAATAACTAAATTTTACAGGGAAAGCATGGGTTTTGAAGCTCGACAGACCTGGGTTAAATCTTAGCTTCACCACATAGTATCTGTGGGCAAGTTACTTCTCAAATTCTAAGTTTTCTCACCCAGGAAAATTAGATGTAATAATTGTGAAGCATTTGGCTCATAGTTGTAAATGATGGCTATAATTACAGAGATTTGATGGGGATGTTGACGAGACATCTTAGCTTGTGTTTTGTAACATAAAGCACATTTGGTGAGGCCTGTTTTCTAAGATTACTCAAGTGACGACAGGAAATGATGTTGATATTAATGGGAAAATTGGTTAATTGAACAAATATGTTGATAACCCACCAACAGGGTATCTGCTAAATGAATTGGGAAGGAGACAAAGGAATTCTGTTCTTGAACACATTATTTATGGTTATAAAATGTATACTTTGAGTTAAATGTTGTTCACACTTTAAACCCAAACAAGTAAAACTTGGAATAGTTTGTTCAAAAAGGGTTTTAAAGAATGGATTGCCTAAGGCTTCAACAAAAGAAAGAGAAATGTCTGGGAATAGTGCATGTTGTCACAGGTAATGAGGAGTTGGTCCATTAAGGGATAATTTTGAGAAGTAATAAACAATCTACTTTGGATTGACTCTTCATTAAGGATCTAGAAATTTAACAACATAAACCAAAAGCAACTATAAGATTTTATACTAAAAAATCAAAATCATAAGTTAAGAATTCAAAGTCTTTAGAGAGAAAAATTGAGCAACCCTGGAAATGTTGGGATGAGAGAAAGGACAGGTTGTTCCAGGATCCTAAATGTCTAGGTTTCTTTGGAAGAACTGTTGGATCTTACAGTTCTGCTGCTGGACCATGATGTACATGAGATCTGTGACTGAAACGAGAAATAGGATGTTATTTCAGGGGTTTGAAGACAGGTGTGACAGTCACCAAGCGGGCACGCCTCCTGGCGTCATTACAGAGGAAAATGAGCCAAGAACCAGTGGTATAGGTGTATTTCAAGTAAGAATCGCCTGGACAAATGGCAGGAGTGCCAAGGGGTCTGAAAGGAAGGATCAGGTCCAAAAGGAAAATACAGCATAACACAGCAGCCTGTGTAAGCTTGTGGTCCTGGAAACAGGAGGATAGGAGAGCGGTATTTCTGAACACACCTGGATTGTGATTAATAGTGATTGAAACTTAAAAGCAAATCTTCCATGGGTAGGGAATTTAAGAGTTGCTGGAGTCCAAGTGTGTAGAAGGGAGATATTGTCGGTAGACATACCTGTTACCGTATTTTGCACATATAATGTGCTCCTGTATATAATGTGCACTCAAGGTGTTTGTGTGCATTATATACGGGATTATTATACCCATGTATAATGCGTATCCTTATTTTTTCTCTCAAAAATTCAGGCAAAAAGGTGTGCATTATACTTGTTTGGGGGAAGGCTCAGGATTAATTACATAGGCATAAAGTACTGCTGTAGTAGAAAGTTGACCAAATGATGAAGCAGATGAGAGCTCTCTAGACGAGACTTGAGTGTCAAGGAGAGGCTTTTATGGGCCCTCTTGGCATTTGGAGAAGGATGTGTGTGGTAGTTCGCTGTACCAGGCAACCCTAGCATAGACTGCCTTTGTTTTTGGAGAACTAGGACCACAAACATGATGTAGATGCCTCAGCACCCTGGAGACCACTCCAGATCCCCTTAGATGGAGCCTACGTTCATACCTGCAGCACTAACTCCAGCAAGAGTTAGTCACCAGGGGGGTCAAGGAAGAGAGAGTATTAGCACCTGCTTATGGCCTACCAGCTCTACGGTAACCTTTGCTACCTCTGACCGTGTGAATCCTGTGGGCTTTCTTTTTTATTAATAAAACCACTTTGTAAAGGACAGAAGGTTTTTTGATACAGTAGTTTCTCTTGACACCAAATTTTGTGGTTTTAGTCAAAGACCTTTGTGTCTTAATTTTTCCATATTTTAGTTAATGACTTAAACATCACATCCTGAGATTATTCTACTTGCCTAGTAGCTGGACAGGGGAACCACCCCCCCCCCCCCCCCCCAACCAAATCATAGAGGTGGTAGGTTTTTGTTTTGTTGTTTCTGTTGTTTGTTTTAATTTGTTAAAGGGATGAATTAAAACTTTCAAGGGAAGCTTGGCTATAAATTTCAGAATCTGTGTTTCATATTATAGTGAAATAGTTAATAGCCAGAATTTTTAGGGGATATTCTGGTCTGCTTAATTGGATTTTTATGATAGCCAAGTATTACCAGGAAGTTTTCTTCTCACCCTTGTTAAAAATTCTTTCAAGTAGCCCTAGCCAGGTGGCTCAGTTGGTTGAAGCATTGTCCCCTACACCAAAAGGTTACAGGTCGGATTCCTGGTCAGAAGGCTACAGTATGGGAACCAACCCTGGTCAGGCAAGGTGGGCACATTCAGGAGGCCACTGATTGATGCTGCTCTCACGGTGCAGTTTCTGTATGTATGTATGTGTGTGTGTCCCTCCCTGCATCCCTCCTTCCCTTTCTCTATTTAAAATAAATAAACATATCCTCAGTGCATGAAGATTTTTAAAATTTCCTTCAAGTAGAAGGTACCTTATTTAATTTTTAAGTATGTGAAGACGCCTTAATGAGTTGAGTCCTTGCATTTGTTTCTGATCTGGGGCATTGTTAGGCCTTGGATACTAAGATGAGTCTCCACCAGCCCCAAAACCTACACAGGGATTTTACCTTTTGACTGCATTGACGGGAGTTTGTTTTTTCCTTTTTTTTTTCTTTTAAAGGGGCAGTAATGGAGATATAATTAGTTTGATGTTCCACGTTAGGTTTTTGATTAATTGAACCGTTTTTTCTTAATCATGTGGGAGATCACCTTCACCCATTACCAAAGAGCAAATAAATGCTTTATAATTTTTTGTGGTAATGCTATTATTAATGGGTGACAGAAATAACAAAAGAAAAATACTGTCCCTTTAAGGACCTCACTACCTTTTTCTTGGGCAGTTCTGTTCTCAAAAATAGAGTCACATTTGAACCCACGCAGTCCCAGGCTTGGGAGCTGTGTTAAGTCAGGCATTCGTTCTGGATCAATTTTGTGATTATCTAAGAGAGATTAAAACATAGCTTTCTTTAAAGGAGTGTTTGAACAAGAATAACTATTTTATGCATAGTTAGAGTTAACTAATATTTCAAAATAGCACCTATTTATTTCTGATTATAAAAATTTTACATGTTTGTTGTAAATTTTTTAAAATAGAGAGGTAAAAGCAAATCATCCAGAGATGACACTCTGCATTTTAACACTCTTTAGAGAGAAGGGAAGGAAGAGAAAAAGAGGGAGAGAAACATCAATTGGTTGCCTTTTCCACTCCCCCAACCGGGGACCCGGCCCACAACCCAGGCATGTGCCCTGACTGGGAATTGAACCAGTGGCCCTTCAGTTCCCAGGCTGGCACTCAGTCCACTGAGCCACACCAGCCAGGGCTACATTTTTGACACTTTTACCTTCTCCCACCCACTGTCTTCTTATTCTTCCCCCTCCCTTATTTTAACATATTTGGGACC